GGGACTCCCCCCAAGCGAGGGGTTTGATGCAATATTTGTGGTGGTAGACTGATTTTCGAAAATGGCACATTTCATACCCACCACAACGGAAGTGGATGCGGAAGGTGTGGCGAAGCTGTTCTTCGAACAAGTGGTTCAAGTGCGGGGAAGGCCGAAAGAGATTATCTCAGATTGAGATAAGATCTTCACTAGTAGGTTCTGGAGGACTCTCTTGGAACAGTATCGCACCAAGTTGAAATTCAGCACAGCCTATCACCCACAGACAGGTATTGGGTATTAAGTCAAGTTTGATGGCACTAACACTTCTTGACAGACGGACAAACGGAAAGGGTGAATAGGCAGCTAGAGGATTATTTGCGATGCTATGTCTCGGGAGACCAGACCAATTGGGTAAGTCATTTGGGACTTGCGGAAATGTGTTATAACAACTCACCACATTCGAGTATCGGGGTGAGTCCATGGGAAGTCATCAATGGGCGAGCTATTGAAGGTCCTATGGAACTCGGCATGGCCGAGTATCATGGAGAGTTACCCGCAGTGGAGGCATTCACAGTGGAGAGACTCAGCATTTGGAATCTAGTGAGGGATTCCTTGGAACGGGCTCAACAAAGGCAAACCAAGTACGTGAACTAGAAGCGCTGTAATGTAGAATTCCAAGTTGGGGAGAAGGTGTGGCTGAACACCAAGAACCTCAAGCTACCACGTGGGATCAGCCAGAAGTTGACCCAAAGGTAAAAATGCATGTCTTCCTATAAATGAATTGATCTTGAGTTCCTTAGGCAGGTTCGCGGGGCCTTACGAGATTGAGGCACGAATCGGTAAAGTGGCTTACCGTCTCTGACTTCCTCGAGAGATGGGGAAGATGCACCCCGTGTTCCACGTGAACTTACTCAAGCCGTACTTTGAGGATCCTCTTCGCAAGGACCAAGTAAGACCTTTACCTGAGGTTATGCAAGGGGAAGAGGAATACAAAGTCGAGGCCATCCTCAATGCGCGCAAAAGCAAGCGACAAGGATGCGAGGTGAGAGAGTTCCATGTAAAGTGGAAAGGATTTCCACACTGCGAAGCAACATGGGAACCGGAGGAGAACCTAGCGAATGCATGAGATCTAGTAGAGGAATTTCTGCAAGGCAGAACTCTATGTACTTATGCAAAGTTCAATTAAAATATCAATTTGTGAAGTTGAGCAAAGGCATATGTTGGGACCCGAAGGCGCGCCGAAAGTAAGCTAATTAGCATGGGTTGGCTAGGTCGACCAAGCGTAGGGCACTATGCCCGACTCCCCGCGGAGATGTCGAATCCATAGATGTATTCTACGGAGGTTGGGTTCAAGTCCCAACCCCCTAGTAAAGCAAGACTAGGTTCAAGTCCTGACCCCATACTAGGGCGTGGTGAGGTGAGGGGTATAGGGACACCTATATTCCATTGTCATGGGCTCTTGGCCGGGGAGGCTAACTTAGGCACACCACTAAGTGGGGGGATGCCCTCGGAGACATGGTCAACAAGTCGTAGGATGACAAAGAGACATTCGATGTGGGCATCAAACTTCTTCTATAGGTGGTGGAGTTGTAAAGAACCGACTCCCCGAGATGTCATAAGCTAAAGGATCCCCGAAAGCATGACTGAAATGACAAAGAGTTCATCGAATGGGACCGAGTCGAAGATCGAGTCCAAGACCAATTCTGAGACCGAGTTCGAGATAGAGTCTGGGATCGAGCTCGAGGCAGAATCGGAGACCGAGTTCGAGACAAAGTCTGAGATCCAAATCAGGTCCGAGACCGAGTCCGAGGTCAAGTCCAAAGTCGAGTCTGAGATCGGGTTTGAGATCGAGTCCGAGATCAAGTCCGACACCGAGTCCGAATACTAATACGGGTCAAGGGGTGAAAGCCCAAAGCATGCGTCTCCTAGGGGGGGGGGGGGGGGCTACAAGGGGTTCCAAAAGTATAGTAGGGATAGTGAGGTCCAGGAACCAGTCTTGAAGGAACTCTCTAGTGGTGCTTCCAAACTGACTTGAGGTTGAGACTGGGGCCGAGGGGCCTTGGGTGGGAGTGAGCATGGGCTTGGGTGGTGCCGGAGGGGCCACCCAGGGAAGTGCTCAAGAGCAGCTCCCATTCCCGAAAGGGAAACCGACCGACTGCAGTGCTCCTGGCTTATGTGGAGTGGTGCCCCACTTGAGTACCTTGTGGCTCATTGGTCCTCGCCCTTCTTAGGGGCTTGGGCCTTCCCTTCGGGATGGAAGTGGGGGGGTAGAGGTACCCATACCGAGCCGTTGGGCCACGGTGTTTCGCCCCGATGTCCTAAAGCAAGTGTTGCACCCAAGGCTTGGGATTTAGAGGGTCCCATGATCAAGCCTTGTTGTACCAAGGGATGTTAAGAACTTGGAGGCTTGGTGTGCTTGGCTGCTTATGCCTGCGGGGAGTGTAGTTGAACCTTAAGTCCAATCTAACCTAGGGAGGGGGATTGGGAGAGATTTGGGAATCCGTGAATGGATGGCTAATGCTCTATTGCTTGTGTAGTGAGTAGCTGAAACTAAGTAGAACCAAGTAGGAGCTGGTACAGTAGGTGGGAACCTTGGCGAGGGGACTTAGCAAAGGCCAAGGTAGTGTTGGTTGGATAGATGAGGTAAGTTAGCAAATTGGAAAGGAAAAATTTATAGCTGACAATAAACTCTTATATAGTCATGATCCAATACTACCAACAAAGTTGGGTGTACCTTTGCAATTGTCATGGGCTATTAATGTTAAGTATTTAATGAACATTCTTCCACTTATTCCAATAGAGTTTGTTGAACACTTGGGCCATATACAAGTGTGACAACAATAGCACTATAACTCCCATTTTGTAAAGTATAAAGTGGATGATTTAGTATTAGTCTATTTTCCCCATCTTATGGTATGTGGTTTATCTAAAGGGATCGATCCTTGCTCAATGGAAAAGACTATATTAAGTGTTATAACAAATTAGACCACAAGTTTATAAAGTTTGGCATAACATCCAATAGCCCAATCCTCTATAAATTGTACATGTACAATAATTGAAATGCTTTGTACAAAGGGATCATGAATAACTGGCACCATTTATAGATCAACTAATGCCTTCTTTTGATATTCCTCCAGATCCTCTAGATGAGAGAATCCTGATGGTATTTCATCATTTCGAGAGGGGATGATATGAGGTCCAAGTGTACAGCTATAATGCTATATACTAATATTATTATAATGGGATTTTGGCAGTTGTTAAATTTGTTTTAATTCAAACCACTCGCTCTTGTATATAAACTAGGGTTTTTGGGTTAATTGAGATGCACATTTCTGTATTTCCTTTCCTTATTCTATGCACTCAAAGATTGTTATATTATTGATAATTAAAAGAATATTAGTGTTAGATAAATTTAAATTATTAATTACAAGATATTTACAATTGATATTTCCTCTTTCTACTACCAAAAGAAAAAAGGAAACAATAAATTCATGGAAAATTCTACCATAATTTAAGATCATACATCATCCAAAAAGTGAATTATTCTTTATATTATCTAATTATAGTAACAAATTAGAATTATAATTTATATTAAATTTATTTTTCTTTCTAATATTGATAGCCTCATATGTATCAAGCATATAAAGTTATCTATATAATGGTAGTGTGCTGGTAGCAGAATATGTTGATGCCATATTGATAAATTTGACTATGTATTCTAAAGTAATATATGCCTTTAGTATTTAAATTCATAACAATTAAAATTTTAATTTAATTTAATTTACTATCAATAATTTATAAACAATACAACTATGATGATTGTGTGTTATCATTTTCAAAGTATATATTTATATGAGTTTTATCTCTTGAGTTTATATTAGTATTGTCAAGGTCTAAAGTTTAGCATGCTCAACATTTAAATTATTACATTAGCATGTTCAAAGTTATTTTGAGTGTGAATATGTAATAGTTCAAGGCAAGTAGTGACATATGTCTCCTAATATTTAAACACTTTAAATTTTCAGAGAGTGTTTTTTAAGAAAAAACCCTAAAAGGACCTAAACTCCAATGAGCCACAAGAAAATAATACTATTTCAAGGTCACCTAATAAATTAGCTGTTTTTCTTCACAAAACAGGAGCTTCCTAGAGTTGCCCAATGTCTCACCCAGATTAGCTGTTCTTTGCATAGCAAGAGCACAATTTACACACACCTTGAACTGTAAAAAAGGGGAAGTTGTGCTAGAGCAAGCAACAAAATGATTGGCATGCCTTTTTGAGGCCATGGTGAGCTTAAAGCTTCACATGCTTTTCATTGCTTTGACCACCACTACCACTGCAGAAATCAAGAACCTAATCCAATTGTTTGGTGTGTCTTATGCTTGTCTCCTGGAATGCTCTAATGCTAGGATATGTAAGGAACCTAACCACTCATAATGGCAAAGTTGTGTGGTGGAGCTTTTGAGGTAATTTGGTGGTGATGTACCTCAAGAAAAGGCATAGCATCTTTTGTCTTTTAGTGCAGATCATAGTTTAGGGCAGCTAGACTTTCTGTCTTTTAGGGCTGGATCATAACTCAAAGAACTAGTAAGGAGAGATGGCTCTTGAGTTTCTGGACAGGATAGAGGTTGAAGGAGTGGATGCAAGCTATGCTGTTGCTTTCAAGGCTTGCTTGGGCTTGGTGGCTTAAGAATAAGGGAAGCTTGTCAAAGTTTTAGCTCTAGAGAATACAATGACACTTCAGCTATGAGAGGTAGATGGGGTTTGCAAGCTATGGCTTTGAGAACTTACCTTAACCTTGTTCTTTATAGGACTAGAGCTGAACTCTTTGATGGTTCTGGCTGTGTTGAAGGCTAGCTGTAACTCTACCACTCCACATATGCCATGACATACCCAAATAGACACATGTCAAATACCTATATTACCTCTCTCAAGCCAATGAGCACCAAAGTTATAGTGCTTTTCCATTGTCCAAAACTAATATCAAGAATTTTTTTTTCATGACCATGCCTGGGATCCAATGGCCAGTGAACCTCCCCCTTATCAGTAAATTATAGATATTAATGAAGGTCTTTTGTAAAAAGACTGAATTCTGTTTAGAAGTACATCAAGACGGAGTATTAACTATCACTACGCAAGAACGATGGAACTTGCTCTCCCAGTTCCTGACCTGCCATGCCCTCCATAACCACTCTTTGGAAGAATGCTTCCAATGTATCAGTGCCATAGCTGGGTGTCGCATCGGCATCATAGCATCCGGTGTCCGGATCTAGCACTAGCATGCTCTCCGCTGCGTAGTATCTCCCAATCTTCGCGTACTCGGCAGCATCCTGGATGCCCGCATTGTCTGGGAAGAATCCAGCTACGGAATCGAGCAGCCCAATCGCGAAATCCATAATCTGGATTGGAACCTTAACAAATCTTCGCGACTTCCCGGTGATTTCAAAGAGGAGGTCGCCCTGTTCCAGAGGAGTGTAGGCTCGGCCAGGACCACCGATTGGCAGCAGCTTCTGGTGCTTGGATTCATCCGAGATGCAGTCGCAGATAAAAGATGCGAGGTCAGATTCGCTGATGGGCTTGCAAGAACAGAGGCGTCCATCGCCAAACACCACAAATGGCCCCCCGGCCTTGACGATGTCCACCTGGCCGGCCAAGCTCTTGAAAAACGCCGTGGGCCGCACGATGCTCCACGTCGGATTGGATGGCAGCCCTTGGATCTCCGCCTCGAGCTTGAGCTTGGCTCGCTGGAAATGTAGGAGTGGCTTTTGCACGCAAATCGCCGAGAGGAGCACCAGATGTGATGCTCCAAGCTCCAATCCCACATCGAAGCTGTTGCGACTGGCCTGGTAATCAATGTTCCATGAATCCGCCACTCCGCCGCTCCGGCTCGCCAGGCAGCACACCACCACATCTATCTTCCCAATTCCCTGCGATGTTAGCGACTTCTCCAGGGATTCCTTGTTGGTCACATCCCCCGTAACACACTCTAAGGATCCGGAGGAGGATTTCTCTTCTTCCACGGAGGGATTTGCGTTTGATCCCTGGCGTGCCACTGCCACGACCTTGTAGCCCCGATTCAGGAGCTCCTTGACCACGAATCGACCAATGTAGCCTGTGCTGCCGGTGACCATCACACTCACCTCCTCGGCTGGCTTGCCACCATAGCCGTAGTTAGACTTGCTCGATACGCATTGGCACCACCACTTGAAATTTCTTGAGCTCTTGAACCCGCGATGGAGATTCCAATTCCATGCCTTGTTTCTGCCGCTCCAGCCACTGTGATTGAAAGGTGCGGCTGCTCCATAGCTTGCTGCGAGAAAAGCAGCGGCCATAAAAGCCTATCTATCTTGTTTCTATATCTTGATTTTCATGGGTGATTAGATTAAGATAGAGCGTCACCTTTAGCTTTCTTTGTTTGTGGCTAGAGCACGACAAGATCTTCCGTATATTTCTGGTTTCTGGAGGATGACTTTTAGAGTCCAGAGCGAGAACTCAGCCGACAAAGGTCGCTTTTTTTCTTTTTTCTGTTCTGTTTGGAGCGTCTCCTGCGGCTCCATACCTATCCCCTGCCTGAACAAAACTAAGAAAACTTTGCTTGCTGTGCTGCTGCTGCTGCTGCTTCTAGATCGAGTCGCCAATCTCCATACCACCGTCAAACCACCCATGCAGCACCTGCGAGTTGGACGGCACAAAGTCGGCTAGGCAGTGCGGCGCGGCCACCGAGTGCCACTCGACGCTCGTCGTGGTGGTGGTGGCGGCGCTGGTCATGTCGTGCGCACCCGTCGTGTGCGTGACCTTCCCAATCGCGACGTGGAGACTCCTGGCCACCACCAGGAGCTTGCCATTGAGCGTGTTCACCGAGAAGGGCTTGACCATGTTGGGCGGCATGGCCGATCCGCTCACGCACCTCCAACTGTCGGTCCCGGTGTCATAGACTTTGAGCTTGACACTGTCCTCGAGATCCGAGATGATGAACAAGTGTCCGTCCAGTACCACGCTCAGGCCCGTCCACCCTTCTCGCATGCCCAACCTCATGTTCTCCCAGCGGTCCGCCTTGGGATCGTAGATCTGTCCTCGCGGCGAATACAAAAACGGCCAACTCCACCCCTCGGTCACGTAAAGCTTGCCATCCAGCACCGCTGCATCGTACCTGGCCATGTTGGTCCCCATGCTCGCCACCGGCCTCCACAGATCCATCACCGGGTCATACACCTCGGCGGAGCTGAGGTAGCGGTCGGCGCTGTTGCCCCCGGCGGCGTAGATGCGGCCGTCGATCATGCCGCTGGCGAAGAAGGAGCGCGGCGTGGACATTTTCCCCGCCACCGTCCACCGGTTCTTGCGCATCTCGTACTTGAGCACCGAGTCCATCGGGCAGTCCATGTCGGTTTGCATGCCGCCGCACACAAACAGCACGCCCTGGTCCGCTATCGACGCGCAGCCGAATCCCGGCGGGCACACCCGGCCTTTGCACGGCATGGCCGGCAGGAGGTGCCACTTTTGCCGCAGCGGATCGAATGCCTGCCACTGGATCTTGCCGCTGCTCTTGTGGAAGGCCAGCACGCACAGCCACTGCTCCGTGAATCCCAGCCCCCGCCGCCCCTGGAAGTATTCCCTGCTCGACAGGGACACGAGCCACGACTTGGACACCAGCCTCGCCACGGCCTGGCTCGCCAGCGGGAGGCGGAAGAGGCAGTAGAAGGCGAGGTCGTGTGACAGACCCGGAATGAGAGCTTCGGTCGACTCCTCCGGCGTCTGTTGGCGAGAGATTGACGTGCAGGAGGACGAGGGCGATGCGGCCACGTCGTGGACCGGAGCTGGAAGAGCAGCAGCGGCATAATGCATGGCTGCGTGATATCGCTCCTCCTCCTCCTCCTCCTCCGCAAGGCTTTTCTTGCTTTGCCAGCCTTTTGTTGACAACACTCCCTTCCGCTGTTGTGCCACTGACTTTGGCTTGCGCGCGTAGGTAGGCGGGGCGAGTTTTTTAATCTGCAGCGCAGCAAGGGTAAGAAGAAAAAGAGAGAGTTGCGAGGATCAAAACCACATTTTTCCACCGCGGAGGCAAACACATGCACGCACCCAAGTGTCACTTTCGAGCAAGGCATTAGAGTATTTGTCACAAGAATGCCCCAGCCTGACTAGCCACAAGAAGATGCCCATTTTTCAAACTTATTCAGAGGTACCTAAGCGCTGTTCATCACCTTTATGCTAGCCAGATAACAGACAATGTGTGTGTATGACACCACCAGTGTGCGAAATGAAAACCCGCAGCGGCAAGCAGCAGCACAGTGCCCAGCCAGCCAACCAGCCAGCCAACACACTCGCACAAAAGGAAAAAAAGAAAAAAGAAAAGATGGAGGAGAGAATAATCTAGACCTCAGTGCAAATGCACAACACAACATTGTGTATCTATCCATCTCTCAACAAACACACACATAGAGCAAGCAAGGAGAACACGCAAGGAGAACTGGAAAGAAAAAAGAAAGCAAAGCGAAGGATAGAAGAGAGAGCCGAAAAGTGAAAAAAGAAAAGGAACCAAGGACCCGTTTGCGTAGTGCGCCTTGTACCGCGGCACTGCTCCAATCCAGATGGAGAAGGAGATCAGATCCCGATCTCCTCCTCTCCCTTAGACCAAGGTAGGAACGGATAGAAGTGTCTTGGTTAAAGTGATAGAGATCACAAGTGGAGTGGAGGAGTGTGGTGACATCAACCATGAAGAAAAAGAAAAGAAAAGAATTAAGTGAGAGAGAGAGGAAGGGAGACAGACCTTGGAGGAGCCAAGAGAGAAGAGTTCCACTCACTCACTCTCACTCTCTCTCTCTCTCTCTCTCTCGTACAAACACATCTCTCTCTCTCTCTCCCCCACCGGGAGGTCACGCGAATTTAATACCATCCACCCGCAGCGGCCGAGGAACAATTGGGGGAATTCCAGCAAAACGCCAAAAGCACTCCAATCGCTCAATCAAGTCAACTCCATGCAAAGGACTCGGAGAAGCAAGAACTAATGGAGTGATGAGTCAGATGTTCTATCTTGCCCACACGCGCACACAGCCAAACACACCAAGCAAAGATTGGCCCGGAGAGACACGAGAGTCGTACCTGGCGTCTGCCAATTCAAGCGCTTGGGCGATTGAGAGATTGTCCCAGCTCCAGCTCCAGCTCCAGCGAGAGAGCCGAATCAAATGGCCGAGACCTACTGTCTGTGCCTCCGAGGAAGGAAGCACCGATCTCTTCCTTCTCGTGCTCGCGCTATCGCTAGCTCAACTCAGCCTCCTCTCTCTCGTGCTAGATGGCGATGGCGATGGAGCAAACAAACAAATGCGATGCGATGCGATGCGATGCGATGGAGGAAGAGCTTTCTTCTCGTCTTTCTCTTCTTTCTCTCTCTTTCTGCCGCTTTAGCTTAACCTAAGCGATGGTAAATAAAGTGTTCACCTACCGGGCGCTGACGTGGCCCGGTTGAAAATCATTGCCGAATCATTTGGCGCGGCCGTACAGCGCGAGCACAATTTTCGCGGGCGATTTGCTAATGCGGCCCGGATTAGGGCTTGTTTCTTGGCGCGGCCGGAGCGTGAAATTCTGGAACAAACGCGACAACGGAATTGACGTTCACATGATAGACGATGGAGATTGATCCTCGTCTCCCCCACCAAATGATTTGGCATGTTTGTAGCGTGGCCACGACGAGCCAATGGAATGCGCAGATGCAAAGCTACAAGGAGGAATACGAGTGAGTGAGTGAGTGAGTGGAGACGTCCACGAAAACATTGATGAATCAGTCATTGATTCCTGGCTAGAGCCGCGCGTATACCTTGTTTGTATGCCGTATAGGCCTTTAGCTACACGAGTCGGCGTTTTCTTCTTCGTCTTTCTCCTGTTTGGATGGGCAAATGAAGTTAGAGAAGTTAGTGGGAGCGTGGACCAGCCACAGTGAAATCTCTCCTACCGCCTTTTGCGATTGAATCAAGGGATGTGATATATGTGTGGGGCTGGGTTGGTTGGCTCCAAATTCAATTCAATTCAATTCAATCCAGCCGGGTGCTCTTCTCGCCCACGAAAGCTCGCCACCTTTTCCAAGTTCAAACCCCCATTTTCTTTTAATCTTAAGCAAAGCCGGGGAGGAACAAGGATCAGAGCTAATCCCAGCACGCCACACGAATCCATCGATTATCAATGGATGGCATTTGGTACTACCATCTCAATTTTCTTTCAGTTTCACATGGTCCACCAACCTAAGTGGGGCGTGGGCCATTCCAAGAACATTTTCAAATTATTTTCTTCATCACGCTCTAGGCTGCATCCGGAGGAGGCCGTACCAAAAGCACCGGCATTTACTGCGCACATGGATTAAACGCTTTGTTTACGCAAAAGCCGAGTCCTAATCCCCAGGGGAAGGAATATGCGACTTGCGGCGCGGATATTCAGGTGCCTGACCGTTTTTTGGACCCACCGACAAAATGAAGCCGTTGGATATTAAGATTGGCCAGCCTTGGATCCTTACCGCATCGGGGCCGTCCACGTGGCATCCCACAGCTTGGAGGAGCGTGTCTTCGCTGTGCGGGCAGAAGAAAGAGGCTTGTTCGCTCGCCCGCGAGTAAGCTTAGTGGCTCTGCGCTGATCCTCGTAGCGTTAAGTAATATAGCTAGCAGCGAGGGAGGAGGAGAGATTCGATCGATGGCGTCGTCGCTGGTAATGCTGCTGCTCATCATCGGCATTGCGGCGCCGTGGTCGCCCACGGCGCTCGCGAAGACCGTGAACTCCACCCGGGTTCTCGCCAAGTTCGACCATCTCTCCACATTCAACAGGTATCTGTCCGAGACGGGCGTGATCAAGGAGGTGGACTCGCGCTCCTCCATCACGCTCTTCATCCCGCCCAACGCCGTGCTCGACCCGGTCATCGCCTCCGTGGGCGCCAACAATCTCCTCGTCATCGCCGACATCCTGCGCTACCACTGCGTGCTACAGTACCTGGAGATCAAGGAGATCCGCTCCATGACCAATGCCACCGGCATTGTGCTCGCCACGCTCTACCAGACCACCGGCAAGCCCACGGGTGAGTATGGCTTCGTCAATGTCTCCGTCTCGCACGGCGGGCTCATCCATCTGGGCGTCCCCGGCGCCGCCTCCAACGCCACCGTCGTCAAGAACGTCACGCAGCACCCGTACGACATGAGCTACATGGAGCTGGATCATCCGCTCATGCCCATGGATCTGGGCATCGACCAGGGCGCCGCCCCCAGCGTCAACAATCTCACCGCCGCGCTCAAGGCCAAGGGCAACTTCAACACCTTCCTGGGCCTCCTGGCCTCCACCGGCGTGGACAAGTCCCTCCGATCCATGTCCGCGGTCACGCTCCTCGCCCCCGACGATGACGCATTCAAGGCGCTCCCGCCCAATGCTCTGGCGGAGCTCTCGCAGGCCCAGAAGATCGCGCTGCTCCAGTTCCACGCCATCGCCACGTACTTCACCATGGGATCGCTCCGGTCGGTGGCCACGCCGCTGCCCACCGTCGCCTCCTCCAGGATCGGCGGCTTCGAGCTCAACGTCTCCACCGCCGGCGGCAAAGGCGTCAGCTTCGTCACTGGTCTCAACCGGGCCGACGTCACGGACACCGAGCTCGACACTCCTCCAGTCGCGGTCTACGCCGTCAATCGCGTGCTGCTGCCTCCGGAGATCTTCGCGCTCGCTCCCGCGGGAGCCCCGGGACCTGCATTGTCCGTGGCTCCATCGCTAGCTCCCGAGCTCAGTCCAGCGCCCACTCCGGGACCGAGCTCCAGCCCGAGCCCGAGCCCCAGCCCGAGCCCGAGCCCCAGCCCCGAGAGCGCTCCCAGCCCGAGCCCGGTGATGGTTCCAGCCGCGTCGCCACCCGCGCCGCCCTCCTCTGAGACGCCGTCTTCCTCCTCCTCGGCTCCCGAGGAAGCTGCCCCAGGAAGATCGCCAAGCGCTGCCCGAGCGAGCGTGTCGCTGGATGGAGGTGCTCTTGTTGCCGCTGGAATCTTGGTGTGGAGCTGGATGTGTTTGTGAAAGTTGCCGTGCCGATTTGTTGTTTGCTATGTGGGTATGGATCGATCACGCTCTTTTTGTTTCCATTTCCTTTTAGAACTTTCGATTTCATGGTTGTGACTGATATGATGGACTAGGCTCGTGCTCTTGATGATGGTTTTTGCTTCCTCCCTTCTATACTTAATAATAACCAGGGATGTATGTTCACGTGACTTCAGTCTCTAGTTATAATCCAAGTAAATTTCTTGATTTGTGTTGGTTGAATCTCAGCAAGAAGTACTCGACTGCCAGGATGAGCACAGAAACGTCCTCGTCTCGTCGCAGCACTGCCGGCGATCCGAAGAGATCACAAACAAGTAGACCTGACCTCCCTCTCCTCTCCTTTTCATCTTTTCTCCCTTCCCTCCACGCACCACTCTTTTATCGTCTTCGAACAGCCATAACTCTGTTGCAACCGCAACAGCAACACCTGGAGGGGCTGGCTGGATGCTGTGCGATTGGGATGCGAGCAGCGAGCGGCAGCACAAGCTCTGTGGCCCGTGTAATCTTAGGCACAAGAAGTTGGTATGAAGGATTCAATGCTCCTCCTCCCTCCTCCACTCGGTTTAAAAACACCAGGCATATAAAAAACTATCAGGCTAGGCAAGCAGCAAGAAGCTTTAAACCAAAGCTTTAGTATTTCGCAGCCAGCTTCTGCAATACAGCCGATAGAGCATTTTCTACAGCCAGCCCTGAGAGATTGTGCTTGTATGGGGGCCCCAGGGCAACGCGACAAACAAAGATGCCTACGCAAAGAGAGAAGAAAAGAAAAAAAAAAAAAGGAAAAGGTGACGAGCACCAGCAGCCTTGCCTGGATCTCATTATACCTATGAATGTAGTGCAGGGACAGTTAACCGCAATCCAAATTCATCCACTCACATTTTTCTGCTGCAATCTCATTCTTTATTCTTCCGTGGCTGCTTCCATCCAGAGGGGCGATGAGAGCTTCAGCCTCCGTCAGCCTCCAGAGTGAGCCACTGGCGTCGTCACGAAGCGACCGTCTTCATACACATTGACAAATTGCTCTGGCAGGGCGTGCTCCACCTGACACGAAAAGATTGCAAACCGATTTAGCCTGTGCCAGCAAAAACACGCAGTCTTACATAGTCGTCCTCGGCAGTAGAACCAGGTACGAGGACGTTGATCTCGCTGGATTTGGCGGTGGTAATAGACGCCTTTAGAGACTCTGTACTCAAGTAGAGCTGACATCCGTTCGTGTTGTCCACTGCGATAGTTGGTGCCATTCCCTGCAAAGCACTGGATGAGACCAAGGCTGGCTGGCAACAGCTTAAGTCCCACCTGGCATTGGACCTCGACGCTCGTACAGTTCACAACCTCGCAAGCGGCAACAACGTCCTGGAAAGACACTTCACATGCTCGGAATGAATCAAACAGGGCGCGTCATTTTCACCTTGAACACCAGGCCCGTCTTAGAGCACTTGTCAAATGTCACGTTATTGACTTTCCCTGCGCAATGGATTCCAGCACAAATATCTCTCTCGTAAAACTTTACCTCGAATCTGAATGACTGAGCCCTTGCAGCCAAATATGTACACGGACTGCCTTGGATTGCACTCGCTTATTATAATCTCCTTGTTGTTCGTCTGGTTCTCTACCACCCATCTGTCAGCACAAATATTGCGTTCGTTAGCACAAATATCACGGAAAGGACACTGCTCACTTTCGATCAAGTTGCAGTTCAAATACGGGAGTAGACGCCTTCGGCTGAGTGACAGCAACGTTTGACGTTTTCTCAGATGCCTGGACAAAGCCCGGCCTCTCAGCTCTGTTCTTCGTCTTCATGTCATCGGTCACTTTCCTTAATCCTGAAAACCACAGGCACACCAGTCACGTGAGCTTCCAGACAAGACCAAAGGAGCCAAGCAAAGCTTACCTGACGTCACTGATCCACCCTTGTTGATGTCCTTAAATACTGCGCTCATGGACGGTTTGGAGGCACCAGCCGCTGCAGGCACTGGAGCTGCTGCAGTGGGGAGAGGTGGAGGACCTGGAGGCGGTGGAGGACCCGGCGGCGAGGGCGCTTTTGGTACTTTCGGAGGGGCTGGACCTTCCAGATACTGCTTCACCTCAACGCCTTTGGGATTCCAAGATGGCCCAGTCGCATGAAACTGCTTGACGTAATCTCTCAATCCGGGGAAGAAAAGCTCCTTTATGGCCTTAGCCCACTCGGCTTGGTCTGGATTCTTCGCTCGGAATTCAATGAGAACCTGTCATGAATGCAAATGCGCAAAGTTACGGGGAGAAACTTCAACCAGGCCTTACATGCCTTATTGTTGTAGAACTCCGCCGACTGCCAGCTTTCCTCCACTTGACTTATGGGCTTGGGCATGCCTAGATAGATAACAACACAGATAAGAAGTTCCGAAGAACAGTCGATTTCGAGAGTGACGAACTTTACCCGATTGTTTGGTGTAGACGACCCATGAGAGAGATTGCAAGCTTTCCGCTATAACTTTGACATTGTTGAAGGCATCCGTCCTCCTTCCTTCCGTTAGAGAATGCGCCTTCATCAACAGCAAAGCTAACGGATGCACTAGCTTTTGGAGCTCCTCCATGCTCGGTTCCTACCAAAGTACGTAAAGGTTTTAGCTCAGATCTAGATCTAAGTCAATGGAAAAAATTTCCCAACATACCTTGCATTGGGAGATCGCTCGCACGATTTTCCTCTCTTCTTCAAATGCCTCCTTGATCAGCTTGCTAGCTTCCAAGACCTGGCCTCCAATCTTCTCCGCAGCTGCCATCACCCTGCCAACGCTTGCCGATACAAGCTCCTCAAATGCAGCCACCGAGGGTGCTCCCGCCGATTCCAGCTCCAGATTTGCTGCATCGGGGAATCGCTCGGACTTGACACCGCCACCTCCAGCAGCAAGGCGGGATTCTAGCGCCTCCAAGCGCCCCACCGCAGCCTCCAGCCGGCTCACGGCAGCCTCCAGCGCCTGCGCCATTGGAAGAGAAGAAGAACCCTAAAAAGAGAGAAGTGCTCCTCCCCAGGGTTTATGTCGATATTGTAGGGCTAATGCGAGATGGCGATTGCAATGGCGCTGTCAAGAATGCCACCGCCGATGATCGGGCACGCGATCGGCAATGGACAAGCGGCATGGCCTGGCAAATGCTGTCAGCTGGAGGAAAGGCTGATGAATCTCGAGAGGCACCAGGTAAACAGAGTGGTGCCGGCAATCAGGCAATGGATCCGGGAAGGAAATAGTGTGACCAGCTGTGGCCTGGATCGTGTAGTGCGGAGGCTTCGCTCCAGGAAGCGCTATCTTCAAGCTCTCATGGTAAGCTTTACTTCGCTTGTTTTCGAGGAGAGAAATAAGGTTGTTTTCAAGGCACTGGACTGGGTTGCAAACGAGAAAGTGATCCCATTCGGCTACCACGAAACTCTCCAGCGCCTCGACCTTTGCTCGCGTTGTCACCACGTAACGAGGACACTTCTACTCTTTCGGAGGCTTCCAAAGCAGTGGAGGAGTGAGGACGCCTACTGCATTCTTCTCGAACTGTACTACAAGAGGGACATGCTGGAGGACGCGGAGAAGACAATGCAAGAGCTGAGAGGGATTGGGATCAAAAGCTTGCAACCTTACCATCTCATGCTCTCGTTTTACAAGCTCCGGGGCATGGAAATGAGGTTTGAGCGTATGGTGACGGAGATCAAGGGCTCCGGGTTGGCACTCGATCGCTCTTTCTATACGATTCTGCTGGCTGCTCGTGACAGCTTTGGAGGTGACATGGTTGCTGTGGAAGACGTTCTAGCCGAGATGGAAGGCAGAGGGTTGAAACTCGATGCAGTGGGGTGCTTGGCGGTGGCTGGGATTTATCTCAGGAGTGGACTGCGCCACAAGTCGGAACGGGTCTTACAGAGGTTGGAAAAGTCACTGAAGTCAGGTGAGTTCAAGGACTCGAATTCTATACGAAGGAGGATGCTGGCCATGTTTGGGAAACTAGGAGACAGGGATGCAGTTGACAGGATTTGGCATTCAATAGAGCGCTCTGCAAGTACTACCGTGGAGGATTTCATCTTTGGCATTGAAGCGTTTGGTAGAGTGGGAAAGATGGACGAAGCCGAGGATATGTATATGCGAGTAGGATGCAACAGCTGCAATCCGAGGCTACACAATGCCTTTCTCGCTGTCCTCGTGGAGCAGGGTGATGTGATTCGAGCCGTTGCTTTAGTGGAACGTATGAAGGGTGTCAGATGTCTTCTGAGCACGGTCACTTATCATCTTCTCATCAAGGTCTACCTGAAGGCTGGCGATGTGAGCCGAGCTACGCTCGCATTCGAGAGCCTAAGATCGGCTTTCGGGAAACTGGAGTGGCCGCGTCCTTCTTCAGAAACACTAGCGGTAATGCTGGAGTTTTTCGTTGGAATAGGAGACGTGCAGGCCAGTGAACGTCTTGTCAAGAAGTGGATGGAAGATGGCTTTCCCTTGAGTGCCGCGGTTTTCCACTCCCTTTTCAGGGTATATGCGAAAGGCGGAGCTGGTGTTGACAACTTTCCTGGACGAATGCTCAGTGCTGGAGTTGAGCCAACTCGTGAGACGGAGCAGCTTTTGAGGCAAATCTCGACGTTTTTGCGCGAGAACAGCAAAAAAGATTTTCCTTTATCCGATCGCCGAGGTGAAACAAGTTCATGCAGATGGCTACGTACTAGGCACTTACTGGTAAGCTGACGTCCACCCCTTTCTGCATTTCTTCGATCCACTCTCCAGTGGTCTGAAATCGCATGTGGACTGCGATTATTTGCAGGTCTGATTTGAAGCTGCAGTGTGTGCTGCTGCAGACGAAAGTGAGACGAGGAGAAGGATGGCTTACTTTCTCGGTGGTGGAAAGCCTCCTGATCTCGATCGGTTTGAGAATGTGATCTACTTCTTCCAAGTCGCTCCCGCCCTCAAGACCGTCCATGAGCTCCCAGGTATTGATTATCTCCGCGCTTGCATTTTCCATCTTTTCCTGCGCATCTCGGTACTGACTTTCTGCTTTTTCAGCTGGCAGAGAGCTCTGAGGTGCCGCCTGTTTGGATAGTATGCATCCCATTGCAAGATCAGTGGGCGAGTCCTTGTGCTGCCTGGCCTGCAATTATTTATTCTCTGGCAATGATGGCAAGGTGGTAGATTGTGGAGGTGGCACTCATTGCAGAGGAGATTCGGTTTGCAAGAAAGGAATGGGTTTAGATCCGAGTTAAGAGACCTACACTCAGAATATCTGGGGTGGATTGGCGTGGAAGCCATGGCATGGAGAGAAAATTCCGTCGAATCGAAGATTTGATAACTGACAAAACAAGCCAAGTCCAGGAATCGCTTGGGATGAAATTATGTTCCTGAAAAGAGCTGCACTCCTTTACTCTTCTACAACGTCAGTGCTTTGCTAAAGAATCAACGACAAATGACGAGAAACCACCTCCCTAGTGTACAGAGAGAAGATGCGCAAAATCCGACTGCTTACTTTGCTGGATAGTTGCAGCCACCGTAACCTGAGACAACAAGAAGTTTGACAAGGACGGGGCGGAAGCTTGGTTAGCTGATTACAGAGTAAACTGGTAGAGGTAGCTTGCTTACTGGGGTCCGAGATGGCGACAACGGCATTGTTCCTGAAGTCACAGTTCCAGTAGTTTCGGCCGTGCCTCTGGTAGTAACTGTTGAAGGCGTATGAGGCGTGCGAAGTGACATCGTTGGGATAGTAACAGGCTCCTCCCGGTTGGATGGCTAAGCAGTCTGCCCCTCCTTCTCCGCAGGCAAAGCCAAGAGCAGCTGCAAGAGAGGTGGCGTCTGCGTTTGGCTTTGCAACGCACCACACTGGCGCTCCGTGCCCGCCCGAAGGCGTCGATGGAGTTCCAGAGTATGGTGGAGTCGGCGGAGTCATTGGAGCGGGATAGACGATGACTGGAGAGGGCGGGATCATTGGAGCTGGGAAGGTGACTGGAGATGGCGGAGGTTTTGGAAACGACGGAGTCATCGGGGATGGATAAGTTACTGGAGCTGGCGGAGCTCCCACGGACGGTGGAGTTGGGGGTGGATAAGTTACTGGAGCTGGCGGAGCTCCCACAGACGGTGGAGTTGGGGATGGATAAGTGACTGGAGCTGGGGGAGCTCCCACAGATGGTGGAGTTGGAGTCGTAACAGGTGATGGTGGAGTTGCAAACGGAGGGCGAGATGGCGGCGGCGGCGGCGGCGGTGTGATGGGAATTGTTACTGGCGTCGGGGGGTTGGGAGAGACAAAGGGACTGGGTGGAGTGATGACAGAGCCGCTCTTCAAAATTCCGACGTCATAGACTGTGGAACCATCTGGCCGAAACAGTCCGTAATTCCTCTCCGACGCCGGTCCTTCTTTCAAGTTCTCGTTGTAAAGGGAGAAGATGTAGGTGTCGATCTGCTGCTTGGGCCTGAGAGGAGTTCCCGGACTGCTGCTGATGTAAAACACGAGGTTCCTGTTGTACAGCATGGCGTTTCGCAAGCTCACTTCGGCTTCACTGGGGTCTCCAAGTGATGGCCACCCCGTCTCGGACACTCCAATGCGGACGTCCGGGAAGCGCAACTTTTTCATGGCCGAGATGACAGCGTCCAGCATTGCTCCAAACATGTTGCTGTAGAGGAACTGTGTTCCCGGGTCCGTGACACCGGAATTTGGAAGGAAGAGGCAGTAGGCAAGCGAGACGTCTCGGGGGTTGCTGCGGTAGGCCATGAAGGGATATGCATTCACCATGAAGGTGGAGTTTGTGGCCTGGAGGAAGGTGAGGAGAGGAACGAGCGCGGACTGAGCGAGGTCGGGCCGGAACGTCCCACTCGAGGGTGGAAAAGAAGTGCTGAGAGTTGCAAGGGACTGGGGAGCTGTGATCTTGATAAGATCGTTGAGCTTGAGAGTGACGAGCGCCGACTGGAGGCTGTTCATGGCGGGAACGAGCTGCGCCGCAAGCTGCTGGTTGGAATTCTTTCCGGCGAGAACCTCGTTACCGACGGCAATCCCACGTATCCTCGTATCCGGCAAGTACGTCACCACGTTCTGCCGCATCCACGACAGCGCTGCTCCTTGATCAACCAGCGACGGTATCTGCTCGTTTGGGATGCCAACAGTGATGTCAAAGCTGGTTCCGGCGAAGGCCCGCAGGATGGCTGGATTCGCGTCGTAGAGCTTCACCTTGCCAATGTTGGTGTTTTTGAGGAGCTCCACAACTTGAGATGGTGGAGGCAAGTTGTTCCCGCGTGTTCCATAGTTGACACCGATGGGATTGTCAGCTGGGACGAATCACACAAAACAAGACGCGGGTGAGCAAAAACTTTGAGACGTTTTCTTCCTCTTTGACACTTACTTGCAGACTCAGACTCGTGGAGAAGCAGCAGCACTAGAAGCAGCAGCAGCAGAAGGCTCTTCATTTCGTTGACGCAGGCTGGAACAAGAGCTCTCGAGCTTGCTAGCTAGCTATCTCTCTCTCTCTCTCTCTCTCTCTTTCGTGTCTGTCACAGTATGCAAGTAGTATATAGATTGCACTAAGGTTAAGAGAGGCGCTTGATGAGCTCGTTTTTATGTTCCAGAGTCTTTCATCTGGTGATGGGACAGCGCGCTCTCCAGGAGAGGGGAGAGCATTCACAATTGGGCTAAAAGCGTGGAAATGCGCTGGGGAATCCCGATCCAACGAGGGAAGCATCTGCTTTCCGCTAGGCCACCCAGGAAGCAAGCAATGGATGGGAAATAAATCTGCGAGGCTCTTTCTTTCTCTCTCTCTCTCTCTCTCGCGTATGCGTACTTGGGCGACTGAGAAAAAGCTCATTTTTGGAAGCGGGCAGCTTGTGGATGCGTGGATATTCGCAGCCTTGTTACAAAGCAAAAGACTTGGAGAGAGCCTTTGTCGTGCCTTGCAATGCACAACTAAACTGGGTGTCCGACAGGAGGTATAAGAGGGGAGAGCTGTTACTTGCTTAACTCGGGGATCTCTTGTTGATCGATGCCGAGCTGATAAGTTACTGTGAGGTGTCACTGCGTTGGAGCGAGCAGTCTGTGTCACCAAAGTGGCTTTGTTTGTGGACCCGTTTGGTTTTTCTTTAGCTTTCCTGTTTGCGATCTGACCCGACCGACCGACCGACCGACTTGTTAATGCTCCGGGGCTCCTGCTAAAGTATCCCCTTTTTTCTTTCCTTCTTTCCAGCCAAAACAATCTCTCCTGGGCGATTGAGACGCATCCTTCCCAGTCTCTTTCTCTACCTAGTAGCTATTGCCCGTGAACAAGTCCTCCTTGACAACCGCCAGGATCTCGTCGTCCTCGTACAGCTCAAACCTGCCAATGGTTCAAAGATCAATCCATGCTTTCATGGAAGTTGTTCTTACTCCCTGTCGTAGAGGCGAATGGTGGTGCCCGGATGATCCGGGAGGAGAACCGTGTCCCCGACCTTGACAGTGTTTGGGATGCGTTTCCCAGTCTCCGTCACCTTGCCCCCGCCCACGGCAACCACTCTCGCCGGAACGCACTATGGAACCACAGACAAGAATCATGAGGGACAAGTCTCACAAGTGGAGAAAGAGCAACCTTGCTTAAGCGCAGCCGCGTGGGGAGATAGAGGCCGGCGGATGTTATGTCCTTGAAATCGATCTTCTCCAGCAGCACCTTGTCCAGGATTGGAACGAACTTCTTTACCGCCGCCGACGCCATCGCGCGCTCTCCTTAAACCCTAAACCCCTTCCCCCCTTTTAGGGCTCCATCGAGTTGCTGCCATGGCGGAGGAGGAGGTTGCGCTGCGCCTGGAGGCCGTGGATGCTGAGCTCCAGGGGGTTCAAGGTAGGAAACGGAAAATGTCCTCCAGGAGCGTGATCTATTTGCTTTCACAGCTCAGATTGCCGTTCTCTGCGATCGCCAAGCGCGTCTTCTTGAGGAGCAAGCGGAGCTTCGCCAGCTGATCGACTGCTGCAGAGCTTCCGAGGAGGATGATATCCAAATCATTGAGCAGGACTGGTCTGGAAACTTTGAGTGGGATAACGAGGCATCCAACTTGCTACTCAATGTCTTTGGCATTTCCACTTTCAGGCGGAACCAGAGAGAGGTCTCGTTCTCCAGTTTCCTTTTTTTTGTTTTTTTCTTTCCTTTTGTGTGTGTGTGATTTGTTCTTGCTTGCTCCTTGCAGATTGTAAACGCGCTGATGAGTAACAAGAATGTGGTCGTTGTTATGGCGGCAGGAGGGGGGAAGAGTCTGTGCTATCAGCTTCCAGCTCTTCTCCGGCCAGGAATTGCTCTTGTTGTTAGTCCTCTTCTGTCCCTTATTCAAGACCAGGTACTTTTTTTTTTTCTTCCTTTCGTTGGAGCTTCGTTGATTGACAGTAATGCAGGTCATGGGACTGGCTGCTTTGGGAGTCTCTGCCGCCATGCTGACTTCGACAACCTCCAAGGAGGAAGAAAAGGAGATTTATAGAGTTCTTGAGAAGGGCGACGGAAACTTGCGGATTCTATATGTTACTCCGGAGAAGATTGCGAAAAGTAAACGTTTCATGTCGAAGCTTGAAAAGTGTAACCGGGCCGGACGTCTCTCTCTTGTAGCTATCGATGTGAGTTTTCCTTTTATGCTATTCCTTTCAGCTCTTTGTAAGATTTACTTACAGGAAGCACATTGCTGCAGCCAATGGGGACACGACTTTCGGCCGGATTATAAAAACTTGGGGATTCTGAAGAAGCAGTTTCCTAAAGTACCTATGATTGCGTTAACTGTGAGTTACATCTCAATTTTTCTCTGTTTAATCGATCGTGAACATTTTGCAAAGGCCACTGCAACTGGACGAGTTCAAAGAGATTTGCAGGAGATGCTGCAAATCCTGCCATGCGAGAGATTTACAAGCTCCGTCAATCGTCCGAACCTTTTCTACGAGGTATTTCGTTTCGTAAGGCGCGATGATCGGCATCTCTTGTTTTTTTCGTTTTCTATTTTGATTTCTTTTGTCCAGGTCCGTGATAAAAAGCAGGTTGCGGCCGACGTTATTGAAGACATCGCATTGTTTATAAAGGAGACTTATCCATCCAATGAGTCCGGAATCGTTTACTGTTTCTCACGTAAAGAGTGTGAGCAGGTACTTGGCTTTACGATTTCAAACAAGAATCGTGTGCCCTGCATCAAACAGGTCGCTGACGCTTTGCGGAAGCGTCAAATATCTGCTGCTCATTATCATGCGGACATGGACTCTGGTCTTCGAACAAATGTTCATCGAAGGTATTCTCGTAAGCATAAGTAGAACAGACGTGATACTTTCGTTCAGGTGGAGTAGCAACCAGCTCCAAGTGATTGTTGGCACGGTAAATCGGTCTTTTATAGTTTTTTCAAGAAATAAACATGAGATACAGGTGGCCTTTGGCATGGGAATCAACAAACCAGATGGTTAGGTGTTTTTGTTCTATGGTCTGAATGTGACCTTGTGTTTGCAGTGCGTTTTGTTATACACCATACCCTCAGTAAATCCTTGGAGACGTATTATCAGGTGTTTTTCCACCATTTCCTGCTTGTAAACTGCTAACACTGCTTGGCCAGTAGGAGAGCGGACGTGCTGGCCGTGATGGACTTCCATCTCGCTGCGTATTATATTTCAGGCCAGCTGATGTCCCTCGACAGGTAAAAGCTCTTTATATTCATCTCTTGTGGAACTGACAGTACAAATTATGTAGAGCTGCATGGTGTTCTCCGAAAATACGGGCTTGCAGAATCTTTACGCAATGGCTCGCTATTGTCAGGTTCTCTTCTGTTTCTTTTAAGAGATTGTATTCTACAATGATGACCTTGATGCAGTCGAAACAAAGGTGTCGGCGAGCGGCGTTTTTTCAATATTTTGCCGAACAAGTACAAGAATGCAACGGTACGGTTTGATTGTTGATTAAGCTTTTTGGCTGATACCAGAGGTGTCTACTCAGGAATGTGCGATACTTGCGCATTTGAGAACGACGTTGTTGAGAAGGATGTCACGGGTACATTTGCCCTTGAACTTACATTTTCTGTTGCATTAAGGCGCGTGCATGTTTTGCAGAGTACGGCAAGTCCCTCGTGCAGTCTGTAATGGACGTTGCGGAGAGTGACAAGAAAACTACGTTGCTGCAGCTTGTGGATCTGTGGAGAAGTCAGCTACGACAGGCAGGTAACCATATGAGCGGCGTTTACGGGCATATATTGCAATCCCAAACAGGTGACAAGGAGATGAGTAAGGACGATGCAGAGCAGATCATTCTTCAACTAATTCTAGATGGCACATTGGCAAGTTTTATTCTGTGTAAACTGTGTGACCCAAACTTTTGATATACAGCGAGAGGACTTTCAACATACTGCTTATGCTACAAATGCCTACGTAAAGGCAGGATCGGCAGCAAGACTTATATTGCAAGGTGACCTTCCTTCATGTATATCTTTGACATGAAACATGGTATTTGTTTGACCGCAGGCAAAAGAAAGGTCATCCTTGAACAATGTGAGAAGAGAGGACCTGTGAAGACAACTCTGGACGATTGCGCCATGCAGTCTGGCATGGCTCGTATGCTTGATAAACTTCGCCAGACACTGGCTGCTGCCGACGGTGGCCTTTTTCCTTATGCTGTGCTTTCTTCTGAGCACATCAAGAGACTGTCCTCACAAGTCCCCACATCAATCACGGAGGTAACTATTTGGCTGATTCTGCTTTGACGCTTTTGTTATTACATTGGTAAGCTGGACGAAATCATTGGCAAAACCAAGTCATCCAAGTATGGAGAGCAGATAATTACCGCCTTAAACGAGTATACTACAAAGAATACAGATGATCCGGACACGAAGGAGGCGTCTTCCAGCAAGAGGGTGGCCACAACTGGCGGTCAGGCGAGGCAAACTAAAAGAAGCAGGAATGCATGACCAAAAGGTTAGTTTTATTTTGTCAACTGTTTCCATCTGATCTAACTCGTGTTCTAGATCTCAGTCTTGTCTGAACAGCCTCCGCCTCTCTGATCCTGCCAGCAGCAGCATACACGTTAGACAGCAGTGTCAGAGCCGAATTGGCAGCTCTATTTCCTGGATCGAGCTCAACGATGTTCTCGACCGCCCTGGAAGCTCGATCAACATCACTGTATGTCTTGCAAGCTCCCAAAAGTGATCCCCACTCGACGACTCCCGGCTCAAACGGCATCGACTCAACGAGCTCTTCCGCATCTCTCAAACGACCGGATCTTCCCAGCATGTCCACCATGCAGCAGTAGTGTTCCCGGGACGGAGATAGGCTGCTGCGCTCCACTGACGAAGAAGCCTTCAAGCGGCCAAAGTAGCTCAAGCCTTGCTCGCTCAATCCGCCATGGCTGCAAGCGTTGAGAAGGCTCATGAAGCTCAAGTCATTAGGCTCCAGACCGACGAGCTCCAACTCTCGAAACAGCTCTAGAGTTTTCGAGCCTTGGCCAGCGGAATCCGAGTAGCTCTCCATCATCGCATTCCACGACACGAGGCTTCTCTCCGGCATGGCACCGAAGACGCTGTCGGCCCGCTCGAGTCGTCCACACTTGGCATTGGCAGTCACCATAGCCGTCCACGACACAACGTTATGCTCGGGCATCGCCCAGAAGATGTGCTCCGCCCCATCAAGCTCGCGGTTGTCGGCATAAGCCTGGAGCATTGCGTTCCACGACACGACATTCTTGTCGCTCTCCGGCAATGTCGCAAACAAGATCTTGGCCTCGTCCAGGTGGCCGTGTCGGGCATAGGCACTAATCATGGCGTTCCACGTCACCGTGTTCCCGTCCCTCACCATTTCAAATGCGTTTCGCGCCTCTTCCAGGTGGCCGGCGTTGCCGTACGCCACGAGCATGGCCGTCCACGTCACTGCGTTAGGGTTGGGCATTTCGTGGAGGAGCGCTCTCGCGGCGTGGAGGCTCCCAGCCTCCACATAGGCGCTGATCATCACATTCCAGCACACGGGATCTTTTCGAGGGATCTTGTCGAAGATGTTCCTTGCAGAGAGCAAATCTCCGGCGCGGGCGTAGGCAGTGACCATGGACGTCCAGCAGACGAGATTGGGGCGATGGATGAGCTTGAACAGCTCGATCGCTCGCTGGAGCTGGGCCTTTTGCGCGAATGCTGCCAGGAGGATGCTGTAGGAGATGAGATCCGGATTGGGCATGGCATCAAACGTGGACTTTGCGCGATCCAGCTGGCCTTGCTGTGCAAAGGCGAGGATCATCGCGTTCCAGGACACGGCGTCACGGCCGGGCATTGCGGCAAAGATCCACACACATTCGTCCAAGTGGCCTGATGTGGCATACCCGGTCAGGAGTGCGTTCCAAGTCACCGTGTTCTTGTGGGGCATCTTGTCAAAGAGCTCTTGCGCCTGCTCCATTTCCCCCCTTTTGGCATGCGCAGTAAGCATGGCAGTCCAGGAGATGACATTCTTGTGGGGCATCAAATCGAAGATTCTTCTAGCTTCTCGAATGCGGCCTCTGCTGGCATATGCCTTGATCATTGTGTTCCAGGCGGCGGTGTCTCTCTCCGGCATTGTGTGGAACGCATTCTCGACCTGCTCCAGATGCCCATTAGCGGCATACGCTTGCATGAGAATTGTCCAGGAGAAGACGTTTGGTTCTTGGATTTCATCGAAGACGCGGCGCGCGTCCTTGGCGCTGCCGCATTTGCCGTACATGTGAGCGCACAGATTGGCCAGGTACGTGCTGTGGCGCTCGCAACTGCGCCGGAGCCTCGAGTAGAGCTCGTGCGCTCGGGACAGATCCTTGGAATCGCCACACCGCCTGATGAGGCCGGCGAAGGAGCTCTCATCCATCGGGGCTTAGGGTTAGAAATGCATGGAAATAGATGGCAACCTGGTAGCGGTAGCGCATGAAAGAAGTGGCAATCCATGATCACGGCATGCGCCGCCAAGGGGAGGCATTGCAAGCGTACGTGAGAATGTGGCAGGAATCTGAGCGGAGCGGAGGGAGAAGAGCAGCAGCATTTGTATGTCCGGCTTGTTGGTTGTTGCAGTGTGGGGAACTTGATGGAATCAACCACAGGAACGTCGGGGATAATCGGTGGCTATGCCCAGCACGAACACTGGAGCACAGCCTTGACCCTCTACAGGAAGATGAAATTGGACGTGTCCAGCCCAACGAGGCCACACTCGCAACTATTCTTGGCGCTTGTTCTTCCGAGGAGTTCCTCCGCGACGGCATGCAAATTCACAGCTCGCTCGTAGGAGGCGAGTTTGAGTCAGCTCCGATCGTGGACACGGCATCCATCACAATGTGGGAGCTGTGGGAGAGCGGACTGGACAAGCACAGTAGCGGCGATGGAAACCTGAAATGCAATGAGGAGTGGCCCCGGATCTCTACAGGAGAATTGAGTGTGGAACAAGCGGCTCATCCAAACGACAGAACCCTGTACACGCTTCTGTCCGCCTGTGATCTTGAGTCGGGCAAGAGAATCCACGACACCATCCAGGCCAAGGCGAACAATCCGAGCGCGGTCATCCAGACTGCACTGCTCAACATGTATGGCAAGTGTGGAAGCCTGGAGATGGCGAGAAAGATCTTCGACGATATCCAGCACAAGACGTGGTCTGCTGGAACGCGACGATCGCTGCTGCTGCACAGTCCCAATGCCAGCCTCCGGCTCTACAACGAAGAAGGGGTCAAGCCCGAGGCAGGCACTTTCGTGAGCCTTTTGGGAGCGTGCTCGAGCTTGGGCCGGTGCACTCCCACATTGTGAGCAGTAGCTTGGATTCTCTAGCTCCGGTGGCCGTGGCACTCGTCAACATGTATGCCAAATGTGGACGAGTGGAGCTTGCTCGGGGGATCTTTGGTGAGAGCTTGGGCGATTCATGTAACTCGTGGCACTCAATGCTCTCCCTTTACGCACACCACGGGCATGGTTACCAAGCGCTGGAGCTGTTCAAAGACATGGCCTTGAAAGGTGTCAAGGTGAGTGAGATGAGTCGCTGCAGCCACTCTGGATTGTTTCCATTAGGCAGGAGCATCCTGATCAACACTGTTGATGGCCACGGTGTTTCTCTGTGTGTGGATCATTTTGTGTGCATGGGATGCTGAGGAGCTCATATTAAGCATGCCTTCAAGCCTCATGCGGAACACCTACAGACTTGTATACATGTTAGACTCATTGTTTCAAGTTGGGTCCGATGGAATGCCCAAATTCCAGCATCTGGCAAGGTACCCTGCCATTTTCAGAGGCAGCGGCGGTATTGGCATGATGGCTGGAGCTCGGCAGCAATGAGAGGAACATCATGGCAGTGATCAACACCATGCTGCCACCTTTTGACCAAATAGACAGGCCTAACATATCCACAGCAGATATGTTCAAGAGCCAAACATGTCTAGAGCCAGATATATTCAATGCCTGACATGTCTAGGGCCCGACAAATTCAAGGCTGACATGTAGACATATCCAAGCTTGGCTGATATGGTCATCACTAGCCACGTGTCCAAGTATACGTGGTGTGCCAGATGGGATGCCACCTCATACATAACCTGATTGAGAAAGGATAAATGAATATTCTTTAGGAAATTTTCCAGTACAGCTGGTCCATTTTATCAACTAATTGACCATTCTTACATCAAATAGATAATGGTAAAATTAAATAGCCCTTTAGCTATTACAAGCTAAATTTATAATAAAGAGTCACTCAATAAATTTGTTATAATTGTCAACTGTAAATTATTATAATTGAATACTTTAGATTATTTTTTGGATTGCTTAAGAAAACCTGTAATGGTAATGGATAGCTTGGGTAGAAATATCTTACTCTTTGAAAGAGATATCTTACTGCATCTTATTGTGAAAGAGATATCAATGTCTCCTGAGACATTATAAATGCCATCCTGGATGTAGAGAGTTAGTCCTTAACAGATTACTAACTGTAAATTACCTTTTTCATTGGAATATCATTGATGCTGTTGTTATTGGCTTTTGTCATTTTTTTTCAGTTTTCCCCTCATAGTTTTAAAACAAAACTTGAAAACATCCAACTTTTGTCAGGAAATGAGGTGGCAAGACTACAATCACTTACCACAACACTAAACTCATAATATACTTGACTCTTACGTCAAAAAACCCATAAAAATTATATATGTTACATGGCAAGAGCAAGTGTACCATGTGTCATCCTCTCCTAAAAGCCGTCCTGCAGAATCTATACATATAAAGCGATAGTGGGGAGGCTCGCCGGCCGTTGGATCCCAGGCCCGGGCCAGGGTCGGTAGCCATGGTTGCGCGAGAAATTTTTCTGATGTTTGCTCCCGGCCAATGGGAGGCGGCCAAGCCGCATGGGGCGGGAGAAGAAGGCACAGCGACACGTGTGCCAGTGGTGTCCTGCCCCCGTGCCCGTTCTTCTGAATGCCTCGACTGGCTCGACACCCAGGAGCCAGACTCAGTCCTCTATGTCGCATTCGGCAGCAGCATAGCGAAGCTTTCGCAGGAGGAATTCGAGGAGCTCGTGCTCGGTTTGGAGGCGAGCAAGGTGCCGTTCTTGCTCACAGTCAGGCCGCCCCAGTTCGTGGACGAGGGCGACACGACAGTCCTGGTGAAGAACAGTGACTTCTACAAGAACTTCGTCGAGCGGACCAAGGGACGAGACCTGGTGGTTTCATGGGCGCCGCAGAGAGAAGTTCTGGCGCACAGGGCAGTGGCTGGATTCGTGAGCCACTGCGGATGGAACTCGGTCCTGGAGAGCGTCTCCAGCGGCGTGCCGATCATCTGCTGGCCTCGGATATACGAGGAGGGGCTCAACCGCAAGATCATGGCGGAGAGGTGCCGCATCGGGGTGGAAGTTTCGGACGGGAGGAGCTCCGACGTGTTTGTGAAGCGGGAGGAGATTGCTGAGGCCATTGCGAGGATCTTTAGCGACAAAGCTCGAAAGGCGAGAGCGAGGGAATTCAGGGACCAATGGGAGGCGGCCAAGCCGCGTGGGGCGGGAGAAGAAGGCACAGCGACACGTGTGCCAGTGGTGTCCTGCCCCCGTGCCCGTTCTTCTTGCCTCGCCCTGGATGCCCTGCAGCAATTGAGCTAACGCTTGCTTGCTGGAACGCTTGCTTGCCGGATCAGTGGCATTCGCAGCAATTGTGCTTCTTCCTGCAAAGGTCTGTGTTCACAGTCAGCCCAGCAGCCGCTAATTTGGCCCCTGGCAATCGCAGCAATTGTGCTTCTTCCTGCAAAGGTCTGTGTTCACAGTCAGCCCAGCAGCCGCTAATTTGCCCCCAACCCCAACAATCTGGATTTTTGTGTGCTGTGAAAATGTGAAATGTCTTCATTTGGGTTTGTGGATGCTATCCAGTGGTAGAGCTGAAGCCAGAGCCAGCCTTCACATCCAGAACCATCAGAGAGTTTGCAGTCGCTGTCCTTTTGCGAGAGAGAACAAGCCCAAGGTGAGTTCTCTAACTTGCAAACCCCACCCACCTCTCACAGTTGCTCACCACGCCCTGGAAAAGGTGTGCCAGTCCTGTGTCTAGGTTTTATTGGTTGCTAGATTAGTCTCTTTTGTTTACAGATTAAGGTGTGTACAGATTGTGCTCTCATTGTATAGTCTTCGTTTTTATTTTTTTTAAATTTTTTTTCCAGTGTAAGAAGAAGGCGAGTTCTGGCTTTTACGTAGAATCTCTGAAAATTTTAAGATAAGTGTTTTGACATTAGATAGGTTATTTCATCTCATTTATCATCCCTAGCAAATATGCCTCGGCTTCGCGAAGTATTAAGAGGCATACGTCACCATTTGCCTCCAACTATTGACACTAGCACATATAATCATATTCACAACAACCTTGCATCTGGTAATGAAGAAACTAATCTAGACCTTGAACATGCTAATGCAAAAATTACTTCAAATCTCGACAATGCTAATACAAACATAGCATATGCTAATGAAGGTCATACAAATATAAACCTTGAAAATGCTAATGAAACTAATACAAATACATGTAATCATCACAGTTATACTATCTATAAATTAGCACATCAAAAGAATTATAATGACCATACAATACAACTGTTTAATATTGGAAATATGTCATCCGTATGTGTCTTTTGTGGTGCATTACATTTTGAAAATGAGTCAAGATCAATGTGCTGCCAGAATGGAAAGGTTTCCCTTCCCCAGCTTTCATCTTTACCTACTACATTGCGTATGCTTTTTAATGAAAATAGAAACTCCAATTTTAAAATTAACATAAGAAATTTCAACAGTGCTTTGGCTTTTGCATCAATGGGTGCTAATATTGATAATTTAAGTGGTAAAGGCCCATATTGCTTTAGAATACATGGTCAAATTTATCACAAAATTGCTTCAGCATATCCTACAGCTAACGTGCCACCATCATATGGACAACTTTACATGCTTGACACTTCTGAGGCTACAAATATTAGAAAGCAAAACCCATTCAACACAAATTGTGATTCTAATTTATTATTACAATTAGATAACTTGCTAAGAATAATAAACCCGTATGCACAAGCTTTTCAAATGATGTATAATCTTGAATCACAAGAACAACATCGCTCAATTTGCAATGGAACCCCAAAACGTGGTGTTTACATGATTGTTAGAAGTGAAAGTACTAATCTACATTGTTATAATTTGCCACAAACTAATGATGTTGCTATTGTTTTCGCTATTGATGAGGGTGAGCCATCTCTTGACAGAGAAATATGCATACATCCATATAACTCACAGCCAATAAAAATCTCTATTCGTAATGAAAATTGTGATCCTATGGTTTATCCTTTACTTTTACCATTTGGTGATAAAGGTTGGCATGAAAAAATCTATCACAATGAGTCGCATGTAACGCTACTCCAGTACTATGCATATCGATTATCTCAACGAGATAGCATTGGCAACTCTTTCCTTTATGATCAATTGCTACATGCTGGGAAACTCACTCAACAATTTATAGTTGATGCTTATGTAAAGGTTGAATCTAACAACCTTAATTTCTTTCGCACTCATCAAAAACACTTAAAAGTGGATTACTACACAGGTCTTATGGACTATGTTAGCAACAGAGCTGCTACTAATAATGCTGAACCTAGAAAAATTGTAATTTTGCCTTCTACATTTCCTGGTAGCCCACGAGCAATGCAACAACATTATCAAGATGCTATTGCTATTGTCACACATTTTGGAAAACCTGACTTATTTATTACATTTACATGCAACCCAAAGTGGCCTGAAATTGTGCAAAACTTACAGTTGAATGAATCACCTGAGGATCGACCTGATCTTATTTCAAGAGTTTTCAACTTAAAGCTTAAAGAATTCCTACATGACATAAGTATCAAAGGAATTTTTGGGAAGTGCATCGCATATGTTTATGTTATTGAATTCCAGAAAAGAGGTTTGCCTCATTGTCATTTCTTAGCAATGTTATCAAGCGAAGATAAGATAAGAAATCGAGACTCAGTTGATGAATTTGTCACTGCACAGTTGCCACACCCACTGTTAGAACCAGAATTGCATAACATAATTATAAATCATATGATACATGGTCCATGTGGTAATTTAAATCCTAGAAGCCCTTGCATGGAAAATAACAAATGCTCTAAGAATTATCCAAAAGAATTTAATGTTGAAACCATTTATTGTGTTGATGGTTATCCTGATTACTACCGTCCCAATAACGGGTGCACTTTCATAAAAAATGGTTGTACTATTGACAACAGATGGGTTGTTCCTTATAATAAATACCTTTGTAAGAAATATC